AAATATATCTCTTAATCAAGCCAGGAGTTGGAATGTTCCAATATAACCTTTAACTTGGAATCATTCTGACAAACGCTTCAAGTTGCATTAAACGTCCTTCACTGTGACTTCACAAAAGTTTGGCACAGAACTCTAAATTCAGGCAAAGCATATCTTTAAAATAAAAAAAAAAAGTCTTATGAATCCCAAATTTAAGTCCTCTTCAAAGTGAGATCCCTCCCTTTACCCCCACTCCCACCCCAGTCCAGTTTGGGATAACGAACACTAAGCTTGGGCTCATTTTGAAGGAAATCTCCCTCTCACCAGCCCCGCTGTGAGCATCCTCCTGACCCTTCATGAAAAACCAGGCAGAGACCTGGAAATGAGCTGAAAGACAAAGGTTTTTGTTTTGTTTTGTTTGTAGTGGTCAAAGTGCACTCATCTGGTATTTAATTTACTTTTTTTTCCTTTGGTGCCACTGCTGGGTCTTGAACTCAAGACTTGGGTGCTATCCCTTAGCTTTTCACTCAAGGCTGGTGTTCTATCACTTAAGCCTACGTTTCAAATTCCAGCTTTTTGGTGATTTATTTGCGGATAAATCTTAAGGATTGGGAGAGGATAACAATGTTCGACAAGAAATGTACTGATTACCTTACTTATGTAACCGCAACCCCTCAGACATCGCCCTTACAATACAATAAAACTCAATTAAAAAAAAAATTAATGGCCTGGGAAGGTGGCTCAGTGGTAGAGTGCTTGCCTAGCATGCATGAAGCCCTGGATTCTACTCCTCAGTACCATATAAGCAGAAAAAAGCTGGAAGTGGTGCTGTGGCTCAAGTGGTAGAGCGCTAGCCTTGAGCTGAAGAGCTGAGGGACAGCGCCCAGGCCCAGAGTTCAGGCTTCACGACGGGACAAAAAAAAAAAAAAATTAAGCTTGGGCTGAGAATGTGGCTTAGTGGTAGAGAGCTTGCCTAGCATGCATGAAGCCCTGGGTTCCATTCCTCAGTACCACATAAACAGAAAAGGCTGGAAGTGGCATTGTGGCTGAAGTGGTAGAGCCTCTAGCCCTGAGCACAGAGAGGCTCAAGGACTGAGCCCAGGCCCCTGACTTCAAGCTCCACGAATAGCAAATAAACAAACAACCCCACCCACACAAAAAAAAAAAATCTTAAGGATTTTCCCACCCAAGCTGGCTTTGAACTAAGATCCTCAGATCTCAGTGTCCTGAGTAGCTAGGATTACAGGCGTGAGATATGTGTCGTCTTGGCACAATTTATTTTATTTATTTATTTTTTTGTCGGTCGTGGGGCTTGAACTCTGGGCCTGGGCGCTGTCCCTCAGCTCTTCAGCTCAAGGCCAGCGCTCTACCACTTGAGCTACAGCGCCACTTCCGGTTTTCTGGTGGTTTATTGGAGATAGGAGTCTCATGGTCTCTCCTGCCCGGGCTGGCTTTGAACCGAGATCCTCAGATCTCAGCCTCCTGAGTAGCTAGGATTACAGGCGTGAGCCACCAGCGCCCGGCTCACAATTTATTTTTTGTTTTTGTATTTATTTATTTAGCTGAGGACTAAACTCAGGGCCTTGCACTTGCCAGGCAAATGCTCTTCCACGGAGCTAAGTCCAAAACCCTGAAGATTTACTTTAATCTTGAGTTTAAGAGTAGCTTTGGGTATTGGGGATGCAGCTCAGTAGTAAAATGCTTCACTATCATGCATGAGGCTATGGGCTAGATTTGCCCCACTCCCACCCCCACCAACAATCCCTGGTGGGGGAAAGAGATAAGAGTAAAATTTAGAAAGCAAATTAATTAGTTGGGCACTGGTGGCTCCAGCCTAAAACCCTAGCTACTCAAGAGGCTAAGATCTAAGAATCATGGTTCAAAGCCAGCCCGGGCAGAAAAATATGTGAGACTCTTATCTCCAATTAACCACCAGAAAACCAGAAGTAGCACTGTGGCTCAAAATGATGGAGCACTAGCCTTGAGCAAAAGAGCTCAGGGACAGCGCCCAGGCCCAGAGTTCAAGCCCCACAACTGACCCCCCCAAAAAAAAATTTATGTAAAATAGGTTTGATTACTACTAAATGAAGAATGTGAATGTCCTATCATATGAGGAATAAAAAATTGAGGGATCTTAAACAATGTATAGTCCATACCTACACATACACATACACATACACATACACACACACACACACTCACACACACACACTCACACACACACACACACACACACACACACACACACACACACACATGCATATGTCCCCAAACAAGTAGCTTCCTTATTTTACCTCAGTACCAACAACTGTTTGAACAACAGGGGGAACCAGTCATTCATAGATAAATAGGCTGGAGATATGACTCCAAAAAAAGTCGGAAACCTAGCATGCCTGATGCCCTCAGTTCAAATCTCAGTAGAGGAATAGGGTTAAAAACTCTCTCCAAAGCCGGGCGCCGGTGGCTCACGCCTGTAATCCTAGCTACTCAGGAGGCTAGGATCAGAAGATCACAGTTCAAAGCCAGCCCGAGCAGGAAAGTCAGTGAGACTCTTATCTCCAATAACCCACTAGAAAACCGGAAGTGGCACTGTGGCTCAAGTGGTAGAGCACTCACCTTGAGCTGAAGAGCTGAGGGACAGCACTCAGGCCCAGAGTTCAAGCCCCACAACCGACAAAAAACAAAAACAAAAACAACTCTCTCCATCTTCACTAGTCTGGTGGAGGGATGGCAGAGCTGCGTTAGGGGCTTTGCTATTGTCCATTTATGTCTTCATTTGACAAGTACTCAAAGTGAACCTCAAAGTCAAACACTTGTGCAATTTCTGATTTCCTGTTCTCCTAGGATACAGCAAGCTATGACTCAAAGAAACCTACTGTGCGTTTATCAGAATCAGGTGATGGGTAAGGTGGACACAGAAGAAAAAAAAAACCAAATCCAAGTTATCTTCACCTTCCTCCTACAGCTGCCCTCTCAGGCTAGGTTGCGTTTTTTTCTCCTCCAACACACCACGGCATCTATCTGACAATGAGTGTTACTGAAATTACAAGCAACACCAACTCCCACACGTGCTATTATTCTCTTGATTGGGCACTTGACTCACAACCTTTCACCTTTTACAGTCGGCACCTGTAACTACCAAATGCTCTGGGTCTAATTGGTAACCTTTTATTTATTTGCTTGTTTATTTAGTGCTCAACACTGCAATGACCCTTTCCTGTGACTCTTTGCTTACCCTTCTGTGAAAAAATGTGTGCGATTCCAAACCTTGGGACTTAGTCATTTTTGGGGGAAACTGCATCTCTGCAGCTTAGACTGGCCTCAACCTGTTCAAACCCTCGGCCTCTGTCACTGGGGACGACAAGTGGGGATTACAAGCATGACCACCATACCTGTTCACATCAGTACTTTTAAATAATACATTTTTGTTTCAGGTTTTTGTTGTTATTGTTTTAGACAAACACAATCTTGCGATGTAATCCAGACTAGTCTTGAACTCAAGATCCTCCTAAAAGTAGGCACCACCATGCCTGGCTCAGGGATATAGTTTTAGTCTAGATTCCTTCTAAATAAAACCAAGCGAGATATTAGAAGACTACAAAAAAAATTGACTTTTAATTTGAAAATGACCTGTCAAGTACCTTAAGGATCCTATCTTTCCACACTAAGATAAGCCCTAGAAAGAAGCTGTATCTCCAGATGCCTCCGAACAGACACCAAGAGTCGTTGAGCTTTTACCGAATTAAAAGTGAGTCATTTCGTTACAATTTTCCATTTCCATTACTTTTAACTAACCTCTTATATGCTCGTCAGCTGTCACAATCCCTGAGCCAACCCTTCCCAAAGACGGGGAGTTTTTCCGCTTGGACCAAAGAGGCCTGGCCTGCGGGTGGCTTTCCTTTCGGAGTAAATCACCCCAGGAAGGCCACCCGCTTGGACTCTAACACTTCAATAAGACACCCCAGGTCCAAAAGGATCCGAGTCGCGAAAGAAAGGGGAAAAACAACACAAAACAGTCACCTGTGCCCCTGGGCGACCCACTCATGGTTGGTTGGTTTTTGTTTTTGTTTCAAGGGTGAAAAACATCTGTTTCTTTCTGGAAAGAAGACTCACTACCACAGGAAACACCATGCGGCCGGCTGGCTGTGTGATGATCTGCTTTTCCAAAAGCTGACGCTTTGCAAACCCTTGTCTAGAAACCCTTTACTTCCCACTCCATGGAGGAAGGCGGTCGAAGGAAGGGAGCACGGGCTACTACCGAGCGAGGAGAAAGACCGAGAGCGAGGAAAGAAGTCCACCCCGGCCCCGGGCGGGCGCTGGCGGAGGGCGAGCCACCTTACCTTGGGTGAACACTTGGAGTCGCCCACTTGGGAAATCCAGAGCGTCCGCAGCCCCGCAGCGACTCGCCCGGCTAGGGAGTCGTTAGCACATCTTGCCGGCGCCCTCCGTTTCATGTAAAACCCCAAATCGGGGCCACACCGAGCTGCTACTTGAAGCACTGCCCCGCACTCCCCCGATTTCTTTCTTTTTAACTTCCCAGGATCTGGGAATTCCAATTGATCACAAATTTCTTTACACAAACAAACAAAAGCCCCTTCGAGCCCCCGCCGAGAGGAAACTTCCCCCCCTGCCGCCGCCACCCCTCCACGAAAAGACCAACTCCCCAGACCCCGGCTCCTCACGGTCCCGGGCTGCACATTCCAAAGCCGGGCGGGCGATCGGGAACCCGAGGGCGGCTCTCCAGAGTTTGGGGGTGGGAGTGGGGGGTGGAAGGTATCCCGGTGGGGGGGGGGTTCGATTCCCGGTGAGGAGGGTCCACACCCCGGGCAGGGCCGGAGAGCGGCGGCGGCGGCGTGCGTGGTGCGCGGCGCGCGGTGGCTGCGCTCGCGGCTCTGCCCGGCTCTCCGCGGCTCTCCGCCGCCCCCTCCCGCCCGCCTCCCGGCCCACCCCCAGCCCGGGCCGTGCGCCTCACTCACAGGAGCGAGGCTGTCTCCGCCGACTCCCTTCCCTCTTAAACTCACCAAACCAGATTTCTACTCCCAGCACCGGCCGCTTCCCGTAAATCTGCACTGAAATCGTATCCTGCTCGCTGAGCCTCCGCTGGCCCAAGGCCAGTGCAGCATTCCTGTTGTTTGAGGAGCGCAGATACCTTAGCTGGAGGTGCACAGGGGTCTAGTCAATGTAAAAACACCTCGTTTTTAAAGGAAGAAGCCACCCCGGCCTCGATACGAAGACGTGGGGACTTCACCAGATGGACCCCCCCACCTCCCACGCCACCCCCGGATCAAACACAACACACGCACACACAAACCACACGCACTTCCGAGGGCTACTGGCGGACCCCAGAAGTGGCACCTGCCACCACCTGGGGCCGTCGGGGGCGCCCGGCTTCCGGCTCCCCCGCGGGCAGCTCGGGGCCGCCCAGGCTGAACCACGATCGGGGACTCCGGACCCCGCGTGGAACCGATCGCGGGCCGCTGCGTCTCCCCCACCTCCCCTCTCCCTCCTCGCCCCGCGCACGGGTGAAGAAGGGGCTGGGCAGGCGGGCTGGGCCGGCCGGCGGGCGCCCCCTCGGCGGGCCCCGAGCCGGGGAGGATCTTACCTGGGGCCCGGCGTGGCTCGGCCGGGCGCAGGAAGGCGCGTCACGCGGACCAAGCCCTGACCTTTGGCGGGGCCTTCACAGCAGGGCCCGGGGCCTGGGCGCCGCTCGCTGGCTCCATGTGGTTCATTTGAATGCGCCCTGACCTGGTGCTCCAGCTGCTTTCTAGCAAGAACCACTACCACCACCACCACAACAACAACAAAAATCCCGTGCCTGCAGCACCTGCGGCCCCGGCCCTGTCTTAACCTTGCCCGATCTCCTGGGAGTTGCCTCGAACTCCGACCCCACCCCGGACCCCGCAGAACTCTGCCACGTCCCTGCCACCCGCGTCCCCCCCACCGAGCCTCACCTGTTTATACAACAGCGAAGGAGCCCCTGCCGGGGGGCCAGGCCCATCGGTAGGCGCCGAATGTGACTAAACAAACCAGAAGAGGAAGCAAGCCCCGCCACCAGGAACCTGAACTGGAGTTGTGATTTCGGGTCGCCTTGTCATGCAACTGCCAAAAAGAAGAAGAAAAGGCTGTTTCTTAGTGGGCCACTTTAGTGGGAAAATGCTCCTAAAATAGTTTGTTGTTGTCGTTAAATAAGTCAATGTTAATTGACTTATTTAACATGAAGCGCTTAGAAAGGCACCTGGCATACAGTGTGTGGTGTGGTAGGTGCTATTATTGTTCATTTTTATGTATATTGTGGCCTTTACCTTCTGAAAAGGTGGTGTCTGTTAGAAGTGGACTCTGGATCCAGCACTGGCTACTCACTAGTTCTGAGACGAGTGTCCTGGTTTCGGGAAGGACAGGAGTTTTGCGGCTGACATTCCTTGTAGACACTGGTAAGCACAGTGGAAAATAAAGTCTTTGGAAAGGGGTATACAACTGATCTTTGTCTCACTGAAGTTCCAAGAGTGGCAAACAACATGAAGACCAATTTGCTCTCCATTCCACGAAGTTCCTTGAGGACCCAGCAATCAGACTTCTGAGGGTCCTTAATTCTAATGAGGATTTAGGTGTTGGGCCTTCTGTACAGCCCTGAAAGTCCTTTATCTGATCAGTGAGAAGTCGGGGCTAGATAAAGAATATGCAGTACCATCTCAAGCCTGTGTGAAATAGGGGCAAAAGGTTTGAAAAGCATAAATATTAAAAATAAAGTGGAGGGCTGGGAAGGTGGCTCAGTGGTAGAGTGCTTGCCTTGCATGCCTGAGGCCCTGGGTTCGATTCCTCAGTACCACATAAGCAAAAAGAAAAAAAGCTGGAAGTAGTGCTGTGGCTCAGGTGGTAGAGCGCTAGCCTTGAGCTGAAGAGCTGAGGAATAGTGCCCAGACCCAGAGTTCAGGCCTCACGACCGGACCCAAAAAAAAAAAAAAAATCAAGTGGAGATGGGCACTGGTGGCTCACACCTGTAATCCTAACTACTTAGGAGGCTGAGATCTCAGGATCTCAGTTCAAAGCCAGCCTGAACAAGAAAGTATTTGAGACTCTTATCTCCAATTAACCACCAACACATCGGAAGTGGAACTGTAGCTCAAGTGGATCAGGGACAGTGTCCAGGCCCTGAGTTCAAGTCCCATGACCTACACACACACACACACACACACACACACACACACACATACCACAGAGCTAGTCTGAGATGAGTATTTCTACCCTCTACCTTCAACTTAGTTTCCTATGAAAATAAAGAATAATTCCTGTTAATAAGTTCCTTTGGACTTTACAGAACACCTTCTCCTGGAAGGCCTTATATGATGCCTACAGATTAATCCTATGAGCCATTTTATCCTTTTTCTTTTGGAGGGGGGTGGGGAGGGAAGGGGAAGGTACTGGAGGTTGAACCAGAGCCTCACACCAGCCAGGCAAGTAAGCTACCACTGGAGCCACCCCCCCCCCCAGCCTCTGTTTTGGTGTACTAATACTGATTTGGGTGCTGGTACTCTGGAGCCCAAGCTGGCTTTGTATTCAAGATTCTCCTGCCTCAGATTCCCAAGTGCTGGTTTATACTCACTCGGATGATGAAAGTGCTTGGATCAGCTAGCCTGAGGAGCTTCTTCCCCTAAGTGGTGCTGGTGGACTAGTTCTATTTGAATCCAGGTCTAGCAGAACCTGAATGCGACATTTTTTACCACCTTTGGGAATAAAGTTGATCCTTAAGACCAGTCAAAGATTCTGCAATCTGTTCCATCCCATTGACCTTTTCTTCTTCCTGTGTAGCAAAACTTAACCCAGAGCAATTCACCGTTTTCTGAATTGGAGATTCTTTCCTTGTCCACACAAGAAGGGAAAGGCTGAGAGTAGGGGAAGGTGGGAAATTCCCAGATTCTCACAGTGTCCCGAGGGGGCACTGCTGGATAGGAGCGAGGGCTTCGTGACCTTAAGTCAACACAAAAACACCACCTCACTTTAGCCTGAATTTTTCTGTTCTTCCCCAGAAGTAGCTCCATTCTGGTCTGAAGACCCTCTGAGCTCCGGGAGTTAACAGGGAAAGTGCTCAGGCTCAGAGATTTTCCTGAGAACAGGCTTTTCAGTAGGAAAGCTCTGTCCAAAGCCTGGGGAGTAATAGCCAGGGGTGAAAGAATATGTGTAGAAAAACTGGGGATAGAGCCAAGCACCGTGCTATATACCTGCAGTCCCGTTACTGAGAAGGCAGAGGCAGGTGGTTCATGAGTAGGAAGGCAGATGGGCTACATGGTCACACCTGTAATCCTGCGTACTCAAGAGGCTACTATCTGAGGAATAAGTTTGAAGCCAGACTGGGTAGAAAAGTCCATGAGGCTTTTATCTCCAATTAACCACCAAAAAAGCTGGAAGTGGAGCTGTGGCTCAGGTGGTAGAGCACTAGCCTTGATAGGAAAACGCTAAGGGAGAGAAAGAAAGAGGCCATGACTTCAAGCAATGGCACACACAAAAGTTAGGCGCAGCTCAGTGGCTCAGTGGCTTACATAGGCCTCACCTAGAGTGTGGATGAGTGGGGCTCGGTGACTTTGCAAACAGGAGCTACGGCCAGGGAACTGCCCTTGAGGTGGTCCAGGCCACAGCAGCCATGTCCACATGTCGTCCTGAGCCCATTACTTTCTCTAAGTATTGCCTACGGCCTGCTCTTCTGCCTTAATTTTATTGTGTTCCTTTTGCCTGTTTGTTTGTGCTGGTCCTGGGGCTTAAACTTGGGGCCTGGGCTGCTGCTCCTTAGCTTGTTTTTTTGTTTTTGTTTTGTCAGTCATGGGGCCTGAACTCTGGACCTAGGCACCCTCCCTCAGCTCTTCAGCTCAAGGCAAGCACTCTACCACTTGAGCCACAGCGCCACTTCTGGTTTTTTCAACTTATGTGGTGCTGAGGAATCCAACCCAGGGCTTCATGCATGCAAAGCAAGCACTCTACCACTGAGTCACCTTCTCAGCCCTCCCTTAGCTTGTTTTACTCAAGGCTGGTGTTCTACAACTTGAGCCAGCACTCTACTTCTAGCTTTTTGGTGATTAGTTGGAGATAAGAGTCTCATGGACTTTGCTGCTTGGGCTGGCTTCAAACAGTGATCCTCAGATCTCAGCCTCCTGAGTAGCTAGGAAGGATTACTTACAGTTGTCAGCCTCTGGAGCATGACTCTGGATACGTCTCATCATAAAGGCATGTAGGAACATAAAGGGCCCTGTGGAAGACATGCACTGTGAGGGGGCAGAGCGCTGACCTGCATGGTCAGCTTTCAACTTTAAGACAAGTGGAAGGATAGGGGAGAAACTACCTGGACTTCAAGCTTTCTACAGAGATTCCTCCCCCCACCTCCACCAACAAAAGTTCTTCAAAGCTGGGCACTCGTGGCTCACACCTATAATCCTAGCTACTCAGGAGGCAGAGATCTGAGAATCATGGTTCAAAGTCAGCCCCTGGAGGAAAGTCCATGAGACTCTTATCTCCAATGAATCACCAGAAAACTGGAAGTGGGGCTGTGGCTCAAAGGGGTACAGCGCTAGCCTTGAGCAAAAGAGCTCAGGGACTGTGCCCAGGCCTCACATTCAAGCCCCACAACTGACAAAAATAAAAAGTTCTTCAAAAGGAATCTTACTTTAATCCAGAGCATGTAGCTTCCCCACATTCCCCCTCCCCCAGCTCTCCTCTCAGCTGGCGACCACACCCACAGAACGTTTTTCTACACAAGTCTTTTCATCTTCCACATTTATATTGCGTCTCCACTGGGTCTCATATGTGCACATGCAAGATTGTTATTACTGGGCACTCCGGTCCAAAGGATTAACTCCAGAGGCCAATCCCGGAGCTCAGCCAGCGCCCAAAGGTGAGCAGGGCCATTTAGAAATCTATTAGAAGGAGCCTGGACTGGCAGCGTCCTTGGCCACACAGGAGGAGGCCCCCTAACTGAATCTTAAAAATGTCCTGAGTTCACAGAAAAGGGAATTAAATATAGCAGGGGTTCCCTGTGAACATTAATCTCAGAACCAAATCCTTCATTTTGAGAAAGGCCTTCAACACAAGGAGCCCCCTGCCCCGCTGTGAGGGAGGAAGCACTCATGTAAATTATAGGCCCTTAAAGGCCCACTCAAGACCAAGATATAGTTTTTGTTATGGCAACAGATGCCATTAATGCCTTCGTATCCCTTTAAGACATCTTTCCCTACCACATCTCCAGATCTCTGTTTGTTTCATAGTAGAAAACAGCCTCACACGAGGAGCTCAATCATTCAGCAGTGACTTTACAGGAAGAAAAAAATCGCCGACCTAAAATGGCTAATATTTATTAAGTGCTTCCCAGAGGATTTACCAGACCCTGGGAGATAGTTTTCACAGATTACAGAGGTAATCCTCACAGAGTGTCATGTTGTGATGCTGATGTTACAGAGGAAGGGACAGAGCAGATGGGAGCCAAGGCCTGTGATCCTTCCAGAACATTCCATGTCTGTGGTTGTATCAGAGACATATATGTGTCTATTCTCATAGTGGTACCTGGGTAGACAATAATTATCTGCCTACTGAATGTGTATCGGTAGACTTGTGTATCAAGAGAGATAGAATCTAGCTCAGGTAAAGTTTGAAGTTTAGGATTATGGAGCGTGAATACAAGTGTGCTTAAAATATAAAGCTTTTAAATTTGAAATCTACCATAGGGAATGAGTATTTTACAGGAAAGAATTAATTGCAGGTATGACCAATGGCCTGACCTTAAAAAGAAAAACACAGGTAAATACTGTTAGGATTCTCTCATAAGTTTCTATTGTTTCTCCACTCAGAAT